GAGTGTACTTATTGGACTTAAGTCGTCAAAAACGTCGATCGACCGTGCTTGGGAATAGGCAGTAAGTGCGATTGCTTCCGCAATATAGGAAATGTTTCGCTTTCAAGAGCAAGGTTAAAAACCTTGCACAGGATAGACGGAAGAATATCATTTACTTCAGCCTTAAGAAGGCTGACTGGAATTCCATCTGGTCCTGGACTATGAGACTGACGAAAACAACGAATGGCTACAGTCACGTCCGAGAGGGTTAAACTTATGGTTTCGAGGACGGCACCCGTGCAAGCCCAGATAGTCCGGAGTGCAGCGACCGAGTTTTCACTTAACGTTCTGGATAGGAACGCCTTGAAGCTATCAGCTGTCAATTTAGCGTCAACTATGGGGTTTCCTAAGGCGTCTTGAAGTATGGGGTGCTGCGCTTTTCCGCGCTTTGGCTGTGCGCGAGAAGAGTTTCGTAAAATTTAGCGAGGGGTTTTCAGCAAAGTTGACCCCATCGGCTATCTGCTTTTCTTAGGAGAGCTTCTTAGCCTGCTCAAAAATCAGTTGGAGCAAGGGCAGAACGGAAGTGTCCCTCTGTTGACTCAAATTATATGAGAGTCTACGCAGCCTACGGCGGGAAGACAGAGGAAGGTACACTTCATCCTTGACATATATTATTTTCTTACGGGGGACAAAACGGAGGATGAGTGGATTCAGCACTTTGTACAGTGTATCGGTACAAACATTAAAATCCAAACATTGGAAAATATCAGCCCAGTCGAGGAAATTAAGATGTCTCAGTAATTCCGCCGTATTTGCTGATTGAAAGTCATGGAAAAAACTATATTTTCGGGAAAATGTTTCGTCCGCCTCCAGTTCTAGTGTGGTAACAACTGTGAGATGGTCTGAACTCCCAAGTGCGTCTAAAGATGACACTAACAGTGGTGCACAACCTCTACAGAAAATTAGGTCCAGCACGTTTGATCCTTGGGTGGGAAAATCAACTAATTGATCCCACATGAAGATGTCTACGACCTCAAGTAAGTGCTCAAACTTCTAAGGACCCGAGGGTGGAAACCATTGCACTTCAGAAGATTGAAGTCACCTGCAAGCAAGCAGTACTTATGATTCAAGTCGGCTGCGGCATGAAATGCCTGCGGGAGATAAAGATAATAGCCCTCATTGGCATTGGGTGGGCGAAACATACAGCCAACGGGTAAGGAGTTGTTATTATTTAGAACAACTCTGAGCCAGCAGCTTTCCTCTATGGCCGTAAATTGTGGATAGTCCAGCGGCAGAAATGTAAGTGGTTGCTTAACATAGATGCAGCTTCCTCCGCCACGGCCATTGCTACGTTCATTCTGAATGCAGGCATAACCTAGAATGGAGAGTTCGGAGTCAGCTACACAGGGCAATATCCACGTCTCGGTTACTATAAAAATGTCTGGGTAGTTGAAGAAAACCAAAGTCTGGAGTAGAGGCATCTTCTTAAGCAGAGATCTGGCATTTAAAACGCACGGTTAAGTGGGCACGACTTTGGTTTCTGCGACGGGTCAGCTAGGCCACAATTGCTTGTAGTATCTTCTAAAGCCAATCGCGTATTGAGTAAGACTATACTGAGCGAACCCCTGAGATGCAGGTTGCGCTCATCAGTATTTATAAAAAAGGAAAGCTTGGTGGTGGAAAGGGAACCTGCATAGGGAGAAACAAAATGTGGAAAACAAATTGGCCCTGGTCTACAATTTGTCCAGTATTTATTGTTTAATGAACAATGACTATTGCAGAAAGGCATATTTGGGGAGGGGGGATCCATGTAAAGGAAAGCCAGAGTTTGGCATAGGAAAAATATTAGGGTGCATAAAAATAGGATTTTGAGGCATTTGAGCATAATTTGCCAGAAAATGTGCATTTTAAAATGGCACGATTGGTTTTGAAAAACTGGTTACATTATTGGCTGACTTAATTATTTGGGGATTTTTGACAGTTTTTGGGTTAGGAGAGTGCTAACGTGAGTGTTTGCACATGCGCTTCATCCATAGATAATATGGTTGAGTCTGAATAGTTCTCATATCTTTTCGTCGGCTCGTAGTCCTGTGTTTAACTCGTGTAACTCCCTACGATAAGCGTCTGTCACACGGAACACAGTGGGAACACCAGCGCATTCGGCTAAATCAGCCATATCCTGCTGCAAAATGTAACGTCTAAAGCAGTAGTTGTACTCAAGACAGCATGATTATCAGGTGCGAACCCAAGTTAAAGAAGACAGCAGGCACCCGCGGGATAAATGTATTATGCAGCAAATGTCATTGGCGAAGCCAGGATAGTGTTGACTGTGTCCAGTCATGCCTGAGAGAGATTGAGACAGAGGTGGCAGCGGCTCTAGTAGGATTGCGGAGCGGGTTCAAGTGTTCTCCAATTGGTGCGGGTGGTATCAACCGAAGGGTTTCGTGTCTGTTTGTATATGACGCATCAATGCCCCACCGTCCTTACCCGCCGACACAATCCTCCCTGCCGCGATCCCTACGTTGATTGCTACGGCGATCACCTAAAACCCCAATCTTACCACGCACTCCAACGCGCCACTTCCACTACCACCCTCATAACCACCGCCAACACAGACCCCTCCACTAGCGGCTTATATCCTTGGCCACCACGACCTTGTCCTTTTTCGCAGCGCTCTCTCTAAGCCCCGAAAACAGACCTGTAGCTTTACTTTGTGCTCTGTGCTCAGTCCGACGCTCATCAACATCTACGTGCGAGAACTCCCACTCTCCCGAGCACTTGCGCAAGGGGTATCGTACGCGGACGATGTTACGTTCTTCTGCCGGTATCACCGCATCGATCAGGCTGCGCAGCTCCTGAGGGAGTTCATGCCTGATGTCGAAAACTTCTTCACCCAGCGCGGAATGACGATCTCGGCAGCCAAGTTGTCCGTCACTGTTTTCACGCTGGACCCGAAGGAGTTCAATTGTCACCCGGCCATAATCGTCAACGGTGCGTCCTTACCACTCGTCCGTGAGGCAAAGCTCCTTGGCGTGCGTTTCGATCCACTTTCCACGTTCGCGAATCACGCCAGGGAATTCGCAGGAAAAGTGAGTCGCTGCACCAAAGTCCTCAAGGTTCTAGCGGGCACATCCTGGGACTGCGCGAAGGAGACTTTGACGACCACATTAAAAGCGCAGGCCAAGCCGTACCTTACTTATGCGGCACCAGTCTGGTCTCATACGATCAGCTCTTCCAACCTTCGCCACCTTCAGTGAACACAGGACGCTGCCCTCCGCGCGTTAACGGGTTGCTATAAAATGCCGTCTATCGATCCTCTTCATGCAGAGGCTTCTGTCCTGCCGTCGCCCCTCACAACACACTCCTAGGCCAGCAGTTCTGGTGGACCTGTTCATTGCCCGGCCATCCTAATCACCGCCGTTGCCACGCTCCTGAAAACAGCAACAACGTTCGGCCGCCTATTCGAGCTCTCCACTAGGAGGCTCTCGCTTCGTCTCTCTCGGATCTATCCGTTGATGGCTCTGCCACCAAGAGTGGCTTCCAGCGTCTTCACTAGAGAGCCGTCGTCGAGGAAAACGGGGTTACCATCCCTGGCCCTTTTGGGCAGCTATCCAACTCTGATTGTGGCCGCAGAGCAACAACTCCCGAGGGTCAATCGCTGTACTCTGGCTCATCTGCGCAGTGGCTACTCAGTGGTCCTTCGCCAGTACCAACACCGGCTCAAACCGTCCACACCCGTCAGCTGTCCCGACTGCGGCGTTTCTCCGCTCTACTATCAGCATCTGTTCGCCTGCAGTTAAATAAATAAATAAAT